ATGGCGTGTAATCTCCTCTCTTATCACCTAATGGTCATTGTATATTCAATTTACATCATTTACGGAATTAAAAATATAAGTGTGGTTTGTGCATTTTCTTAAAATTCACAACCCATATTAGTCAGCTGTTGTCACTGATATATACGTACACTCATTTTAAACCAAAATTTTTATCAAGAGAGACCGTTATCTCTAAATTACGATCACTTTCATCAGATATATTTCAATTTTTTTTAAATTTTCATTATAAGCGATATTATTTAACTATTACTAACCGCCCTCTAATTCAACTGAAATAATAATTTATACTAACCCAAAACTAGTAACCAAATATAAATTACTGTTTGTGATTCAGGTTATTTTTAAAAACCATAATATATAACCCTTTCAGGACCAGCGGAAGGAGAAAGAATCGCTTCCCCAACGAAAGGATACGCAAGCACGGGACCAAGCGAATGAAGCCTCATTTCATTTAAAAATTCATAGAAAATGCGCTCAAACTTACAATTTACTAGCCTGAGCAGAGAGTACAAAAATTTTCGCGATTTCAAAAAACAATTGCAAACTTTAAAGAAAATGTTTTCATTTTAATAAAAACAAACACTTTTAAAAAAAATAATTGACAAAAACCCCATACATTTGCATACGGATATAGAAAATATTAGAAAACTAAACCAGCTTATTCAAAACATAAGCCATAGAGCAATGGGTCACGAACCTTTAAATGTTCGATTCTCTCGAAAAATCTAAGCATGTTTATGTTCATAAATATCTAATTTAAAAAAAACACGGATCCGAAAGTGAAGTTCAAAGTTTTGTGAAACATTATTCGAAAAAAAAAGTGGTTTTTAACCGCCATCTAGTGCTTGTCCTAACTCTGATCCCACCGGTGCTCAATCACATATATGATACCGTGGAGGAAGAAACGCGTGATCACATATATGTGTCCTGAACGGGATAAAAAGGATGGAAAACTAATATAAATAAAGCATGGAAGTATTTTTTCTTTGATATTAAAAAAATCACTGCCCAAGAAAAAACAATATACTATCCAAAAAGGATTAATTTTGATAATTGGCAACTTTTTACTAAAAGGCTTTTCAAAATAATGAGATAAATGTTCATTGATACAAAGTAACGAACTTAAAAATAATCAAAATATTAGAAAAACCGGAGACAAATGCATAACAAAAATAATGATATTTTTAATGATATTAAAAAGCAAAATGAGCTTCAATAATTGTTGTTAACGTTTCTAAAATATTTGCTTTTATCCATTCATGTATCGTTATTATAAGTTAAATTCATCTTACTTTTAATGAATAAAAATAAAAAAATAATTCAAACTTGATAAGTTAATATAATTTGAATGATTTAGAGCTGTGCTCTCTCGAATGGTAGAAATGAAAATTGTTCAAAAAAGATTCAAAACTGACTTACATGAGCTTAGTTCTGAAAAAATAGGAAGAGAAGAAAGGATAAAAAAAAATAAGGAATCATTAAAAAACTCAAATATATGACTGATATTTTGTAATTTATGGGACAAAAAGAAATTTTGTCGATTGTTATGTTTTGCTTTTCTCGTCTTTCATTTTATAAAAGGTTTTTTTTAATATGTTGTTCGAATTCTATGCGCTCTACACATTTCTAAGGAATTGTAACTTTTATATTTATTCTGCAAAATTTTCTAGCGAATTAAAAAATAAATTTAGCATAATAAGCCAATTTTATTTATTTATTTTGGAAACTCAAGATCTGAGTATGAAAAGAGCAATCAAATTTTTTTTCTATTCCTAAACTGTACAATTTTTTAAAATAGACTTTGTGTGGGGCAACAGGAACTCTGGCTTAAGTCTCCCACTTTTTTTGATTGACGGTTTCCTAGTCAAGTCATGTGATTCTACAGAACGTTAATGTGTGAGAAAATGGAATCAACTTCACTTCAAATTGCTGTGAACTGATTGATTGATTGTTTATTAACATCGCACTCAGAAGCAACACTAGTGCTATTGGCAACGGACGTCATAATTTTAAACATCGCTTTAAACGATGGTACCTCAAAGTTAATATACATCTCTCCACAAACTTCCCCACTACGCCAACTTGGGGACTTTGAGCCTCGTCAGATTTAACGTCAACCTCTCTAAACAGCGGGTCTTTAGTGGTATCAAGACTCGAACCCGAAACTCGATAGATGCATTGTGTCAATTCGGTTACCGTGGCCCTGGCGTAGTGTGGAAGTTAAGATGACTGCCTACCTGAAAATGTCGTTTTACATCTACATAAGGCATTTTTTTTTATTTCAGAATCTTATAGTTTGAACATTTTTCTTTCCAAAACAGTTTTTCTTTTTCCTTTACGCAAAATAGAAATAAAAAAAGTTATAGTGATTTTAAAAAACATCGCTCTATGCAAAAGGGCAGTAAGATAAAACTTTAAATGAGTTTTTTTTTTTCAAAATTATGTTTTCGAAAGAAACGCTTTACCAGATACATGATATCATCTTAAGAACCAAACCAGATAACGTTTTGAAATTTTGTGGAAATGTTTATTATACTATTTTTCATTAAGTGGGCCATAAGTTTTGTTGTAGGTTAAATATTTTTTCATTTAAGGTAGTTTTTATAAAGAAAAAACTTAAAAAATATCAAAACTTTCATATTATTATGTATAATTGTCTGTAATTTTTTTGTATTTTAATATTTCTCTTAGATTTTAGTTCATTTTGAAGAGCACCATAATATGTATGTCGTGTTTAAAGAAAATTATAATTGCATTAGAAATTTTTATACAGTGTTACCCGTTTTAGTAAAAATTTGGTAAAATTTCCTTGAAAACAATCAATTTTTCTAAAAGTACAATATTTATTTAAAAAATTTTATGTATTTAAATATTTTTTTTATTATTTTTCTTCTTAAAAACACTCAATTTGTTTTTATAAAAAAAATTGAGTCCGAAGGTTGGCAGTCACCAAGTGTGAGATTGTGGTTCTCACTGACTGTTAGCTTTCTTTGAATTCTATCCCATAATATTTCAGTGGTCGTTGTAGCCTAGAGGTGAAGGTCCCGGATTCTTGGCAATTCGAGCTTAGAACCACCCTGTAGAGGAGGCCGTTAAATCTTTCGAGGCTCAAACATCCTTCCGTTGATATGGAAGTTAAGAGTCAGGTGTCGTCACTTCCTCATGGTTCAAAATGACGAGGTCAGTCGCCAATAGCCCTCGTGCAGCTTTGTAGTGTGAGGTTAATAGAACTATCACTCTCTCCCATAATATTTCAAGAAAAACATTAATTAAAACAAAAAAGACGAACCAGTTTTATATTATTTTTAGTCCAAATACTCTTTCTCAAAAAAAGTTTTTTTATGTAATACAAATTAAACATTTCTCGGATGATTGAAATCTCAGAATTTGACGAAAACATACATTCGTAGACACTTTTATAAGAAATAAATAAGATAAATGAAAAAGTATTACATAAACTTGAAATATTTAATTTTCCACTGCAAATGAAATGAAAAATGTATAATTTTTTTTATTATTACAAAGTAATATTTAGTTATTCTGAAAAAAAAGGAATATTTGGCAAAAGCGTAAAACCTAAGGAATTAAATGAATTAAAATCTCATGTTTGAAAAAATGAAACCAAAAGTGTTGGATCTCTCACAAATTTTTTGATTCATAAAAGAAAAAGTTTCAATAAATAATGAAACTGTAAAAAGGTTTCATGCATCAAAAGCAATGAATTGACTTTTGAGAGATAAAAAGATGTTCAAGATAAACTAAAGCAAACATAGAAATTTTCTATCTATTGCAACACGAATATACATATTTCACACACACACACACAGAAAATTCTTTTCAATGGATTTTTGATTGTATTACGCAAGGTCATTGAAAAAAAAAACATTTGTGTGGCTAGTGAAGGAGAAATGTGTCTTTTCTTTCTCAAAGTGTTATTTTTAAAAAAATATGCTCTTTACTCAAAAATAGTGCTTGTCAATCATTGGAACGAAAGACAAATTGCAAAATAGGAAAAAAAAATGTTTGATTAATTAATTGAACATTAACGTCGCACTGTTCAACTGCACGAGGGCTTTTGGCGACGAACCACGTAATTTTGAACCATGGTCAAGTGACGAGGACGACACCTGAGCTGGCACCCCTTCTCCTAACTACCACACCAACGGGAGGACGTATCAGCTCTTGACAGATTTACCGTGCATCGCTGCCCTACACGGTGGGTCTTTTAATGGTACTGGACTCGAACTCGTGACAAGGCAAGCGACGGTCCGATACCTATACCACTCGGCTACCGCAGCCACATGTTTGGGTTTGAATAGAAAGAAAAAGTACTACTCCAAAATTTCAAAAGTGCTTTGGGATCTTTCTATATTCAAAAACTTGATAATTTTCTGTAAGGAGGGTGTTTTTTTAATAAAATAAACATATCTCACACCTTGATTATGCGTTCCAAAATATTATTTTAGTATTAATCTTTTTTCCCCGAAATTTCTTTTAGGCATGTAAAAAAAAGTTTCGGAATCTTATATAACTAATACTTTTTGAGAGACTGATTTGATTTTCATTAACGTTGCAATCCGGTCTATCTTTTTTTCTTCATTTTTTGCAAAAAAATTGCATTTGAATATTTTAAATAATATTCCAGCTATAATATTCTCAAAACTAATTTATATATGCATATTTTAATTCAACTGACATTAAAAATCTCAAAACATAACATAAAAAAAATTAAGTCAATTTCTACTTAGGTCAACACAAAGAAAAATTTTATTTTAATTACTTTTTTTTAAAATAGTTACAATTAATATAAATATGTATATACATAGGACAGAATCACAATATTAAGTGACAAAGTAGAAAGCGACTTTCCTTTCAATGTATGGTGTTGGACTATTTTTTGTTTACTATTTATTCATTAATAAAACTTAATTATTTAAATAAAATAGTAAAAAAAGAAATCACATTATCAGAAATCAGGCTATTCCGGGTGGGATTCGAACCCACGACCTTTGGATTAAAAGTCCAACGTGCTATCCTTTGCGCCACAGGGATTTTCATTTCTATATATGCTATTGGGCAATTATTTTTGTTTGTTACTATTTATTCATTTTTTAACTTAATGAATGAATTAATATATGAAAAAACTGTATTAACATCAAGTGTCACCCACTACAAGTTTTCAAAAATGTATTTGAACTTGAATGGATGAATATAGAATGTATTTTATTAATGAAAATTTGAACAAGATATTTGTATATATAAATATATATACATTATTGGAGAGAGTGAACTAATAGTAGTAATTGAAAAATTAACTTGATAAATGCTGTGTTGAAATTCTTGAAATGTAACTTGTATATTGATATAGCGATGTTAAAATTGAATTATTTAAACACGCGTTGAGTTCTTTATTAATGTTGTACTCAGAATCAACGAACCTCGAACTATAGTTAAGTGACTCCTCAGTCTTTTAAATTACCCCTGTGTACTTTGCTCTTAATTTACTACGCATTCCCCCCTTTCCACAGTGGTCTCAGGAATTGAAGCAACGCAGACCACGAGTTCGCGACTAGGACCTCTCAGCTACGGGAGTGTATGGAAAGGATAAAAAGAGAGATGCCAATAAAATGCATGCTCCAGTGGACGTTTCTTTTTTTTTTAAGAATTCCAATGGGTTCATTTAGCTTTCTTTGCACTCATTAACAACCCAATTGTTTTCATTGCTAATTTTTACTAGACAATCATTTATTAATTATTTCTAGGGTTGAAGAATTAGTTTATAACGAGAATTATAATTTGAACAGCATGAACTTTTAAACGATATCAGGAACATGTTTCTATTATCTCCAGATACTTCATTAAACCCCCTATAAGGGTTCTTTGAACTCACGTTGCTTGCCCTTTTTCACATATCGATCTGCAGTTGCACTCATTTCTTAGCTTGTTAATAAAACACGATATCTTACAAGATCTGCTTGGGGGGCAAAGTATGAAAACAACTCAATTTTATTCAGAAAGATGTTTATTGTAATTATTATGTTTAGTATTATTATTACAGAAGATAGATCTGCACCAAAATATAGTTGTACAAAAAAAGTTATCTCAAGTTTAAAGAGATGTCTTTTATTAAGTAGCAAAAATTTCATTTTCTACTAGAAATTCTGCGAGAATGTTCAATAAATATAAAATATATTAGATACGTCATTCTGTGAAAGTAGAACTATATTTAGCTCTAAATAATATTTCAGTCACTCAGTATTGTATTTTTCGTAGTTATAATGAATCAAAATTGCTTGGATTCAAGATATAATTGTTTCAGAGATTTATATTTTTAGGACCTAAAAAAACATGAGTTGTTACTTTTTAATACATATAAAACTAGAGTATTCTGGAATAAGGAATACTTAAAGAATTCTAAAAAATATTATTTTTCATTTGAATAAAAGTTTCAAATAACTCTAATGCTACAAATGTAATAGATACTTAGATAAGCTCAAATAGTAATTTTGGCAATAGTAAAATTTCCTTTTACAAAAGATGGGCAAGATGCAAAATTTGTAAAATGATCCATAATGACCCAAACAAAAAGGGTTCTAAATTTACCTTCTGTAAACATATAATTGTATTTACTTATTGACTTGTAAAAATGCCAATTTAAAATATAAAGGTCAAAAAAAAAATTAATATTAGAATTAATAAAATGGGTCGATACTAAATACTTCAAAGAAAAAAAATTCAAAAAAAAAAAATTCACTTTGTACAATGGTTTTTTTAAAACATGTTTCCCCCCAATAAAAAAGGCAAAATTAAAAAAGATTATGGTGGGGAAAAAAATATATTAAATATTAAATCAGATCCAGGATAAATTTTTTGGGGGTTAACCAAGGAAAAAAATTCTAAATAAAAAAACAAAAAAGTATTTTCAATATATAATGGGATTAAAAAAAATAACAATAAAATACAAAAAAAGAAAAAAAGGGGCTGAACAAAAGGTTAATTTTAACCCTTCTTTAATAGTATTATGATATTTTAATAAAAACTTTATAAAATTTTAACATAAAACATTTTAAATTTTTTCGTTTGAAATTAGTAAGAAAGGGAAAAATGTATTACAGAAGATGTTAATTTGAATAAAATTAAAAAAATTTCCATGTTTTTATATTATTAAGGTCATTCACAAATTTTGGAACATAAACATAACAAAAAAAATGAAAAGGGGTTACCAAATAAATTCTGCACTTTTTATATATGAATAAACATAAAATATTTAATTTTTTTTGACATTTTTAAAAAACACATGTCACTTTTTCCCAAAACAAAATATTGTTAAAAAAAAAATACAAAAAAAAATAGATAATTTTTAACTTTAAAATTTCCTATAAAGCAAGATAACTTAATATGTAAATGTAGTGAATTTAAAATTAAGAAACATCCCATGTTTTACTGGTGACCTCAATATTGTAAAAAACAATAATCTTAGAAAAAATGAATAAAGGTCTGTTTTTTTTAAATTTAAAATAATAAAATTAAAAAATCGTTATATAATATATTGGGTTTTTATACAAAATAGCAATTTAAAAATTGTATGCCTATGAGCCATTCACAGAATTCAAGGTAATATTAGACAGCAGCTTAATAAATATAACTTTGGTACAGATAATAAAATCTTTTTTAATAATATTAAAAATCAGATTAAGGTATCCAACTACGTTCGGAACAGTGATTTTGCAAAAGCGTGTAAATGGATAATATTTATGATATTTAGCGTCACTTAGATTAGACAACGTATATAAAATTGGGTTAAGAATAATATTACAGTAAAAAATTATTTAAGTACAATATTTTGACAAAAAATGAACTTAGAATAATCTTTTTTCCAAATGTTCTCCTTTTGTAAAAAATACTTCTATTGTATTAATATTTTGCCTGTATATAGATCAGATCTCTGTACAGAGGTTCAACTAAATTTTTTTAAACGCATAACAGAGTGGTTTATCCATGTTTTAAAGAAAAAAGAAGGAGAAATTTTAAGAAAATACGCCGATATATATTTCAAATGGTTGTAACTCTGAAAATAAAGTGAATTTTTCCAAAATCATAGTGGAGCCTCTGAACAGAGGTCTGAGCTATATACAGGCAAAATATTAATACAATAGAGGCATTTTTACAAAAAGGGGAATATTTGGAAAAAGGTTATTCTAAGTTAATTTTTTCCAAAATATTGTATTAAATAATTTTTTTTTCTATGTCCTTAAAACAATTTTATACATGTATTCTAATCTAAGTGACACTAAATATCATGAAAATTTTACATGTATGACTTTTTAAAACTGGTTCCGACTATCGATACCCTTTAAAATTTGCAAAATAAATTTATTATAGTTTATGTTGATAAAATGCCAGGAAATTTTGCTTTCATATGTAAATACTATTATAATTTAATGATCAACAATTATTTCGATAATAATACAGCTTTTATTAAGTCTTCTGTTTCTGACACAGAAATAAATAATCGAATCTTGGCTTTTCATAAACAGTTAAGAATTCAAATTAATAATATATAATTTTAAATTTCCACATATATTTCTTACTCCCAAATTTCATAAGGACCCAGTTAAATTTAGTACAGTTACAAATGGTTTTAATACATATATCAGCAAAACAGGCAAAATTCTCCATGAAATATTACATGATATAATAAATAATCTTAAATCTACAGCCATTCTTAAAAATAGTAAATCACTTATTGAACAAATGAAAGATAAAAAGAATTATTCAGTCTATAGTCTAGATTTTGAAGATCTTTTTAACTCTATTAATATTATATTTGATTAATATCTTTAAATTTACATAAAGATAATTTATTTAATAATTTAATTATGATAGATTTGGTTCACTACTTAGGTTTGTACTTAAAGAGAACTATATATATCATAAAGGAAACAATATCTGCAGATTAAGGTTTGCCAAAAGGGTTTTAAACGACAATTTTTGCCAATTTACACTTACATTATTTTGAAAGTAGTTATTAATAATTCTAAATATTATATTTATCGTTATATAGATGTCATAATCATTTTGGCAAAAACCCAAATTTTTATAAACTTTTTTTTTTCAATATTTTAAATTTTAAATACAGACAAATAGAAACAACAATGAACAAAATTTTTTTGACATCATTAAATTTAAAAGATAATGTAATAGTTTTAATATTTTTAAAAAAAGAATTTAATTTCAATATTAAAAAAGTTCCCCATTGGGGGGTAATGTACATGTTTTATATTCAAAAGGTATTGTTATTAATTTTATACCGTAATAAATTTCGGGGGTCAAAAATAGAAATAATAAATAACTTAAACATTTTACTAAATTTTTAAATCAGAAATAAAATAATTTTTTAAAAAGTTATATGAATAAAACTATTCAAAATAGTTAGGATTAAAATTCTGAGATTAAAAAAAGTTTTTTCTAAAACTTTAAAAATTTCATAGTTATAGTTATCCCATAATTTTATATTAGATAAAATTACTTATTATTATTTTATTCAATTTTCTCTAGTGTTATTAAAGGGTTATGCTATAATTTGCAACTCTTTTAATTTTTTTTTTCCATTCTTTTTTTTACTTTTGTTAAGTGCTACATTTCACCCTTCCCTGATTTAAATCTACTTGGGTCAAAAATCTGGTAACTTTTTTTACTGTTTCACAGGCTTTTTTATTTGTAAATGCAATTTTTGGTAATTTACCTCTATCTTGTAATGGTTTTGTATTCCTATCCATTATTTTCAATTGGTTTTTTCAGTGTTATTTACAAAAAAGGGGGAAAGGGTTTGGCTGGAAAAAAAATTTCAACCCCCCCTTTTAATAAATTTTTTTTTATTAGCTGTCCCCAAGTCAGTGTTTGTAACACCAGCATCCATTTTATAATTTTTTTTCTCGGTTATTCATATGTCCTTCATTGGGGGATTTTCCTACTGTCTTGTGTTTTTTGAATGGGGTTGTTGGATGTTATCTCTTGTTTTAGAGAATAAGCCTATATATATATATATATAT